CACGTGAAAACGTGACTTGATTGTCTACGCGTTTGTGGAATGTGCATCAAACCCAACTGTTACCAGCACATAAATCATGCTTGTGGAGTCGGAGAATTTCTTTGGAATAGAAAGTAGTTGTACATTGTGAATACAGCCAAGAACAATTGGCAACTTTGAGAATTTTCCCACGTAAGCTTTTCTAGCCTCATGACCGTTGCCATGGAAGATGGACGTGTTTTGGAGGTTCAAAGTCACTGGATAGGCAAGTCGAGGGACTTGCCAATGCCAAAAAGAGCCATGACAATAGCATCATGACACGTACAAATGAGGGAGGTGCCGTGATAGTTAATGATCTCGACCTTGTTTCGAACCCTGTTCGTAGCATTGGCTTTGACCTGTCATAACAGGTCTTTCAGTGGATCCACTTAAGCTACAAGGCTGGAGTGAAGTTTCGCCGCAACGAGGACAAGCTTCGCTATTCTGGTTGTCAAGGCAATTACTAGGCTCTGGTTCATAACAGACCGAATGGAGTGACTGAGGCCCGTCACAAAACAACATCTCCAATCGGTTGTGGCGGAATGCTTTAAAATGGGACGATTGTTAACTTCCACGATAGCCATCTCGATGCCGTGTGCTGACATAGTTCAATCAAGTCATTCCTCACCGAGTCTGGAGGTAGATATTGTAATGAAAGTCGCAAAAAGGCAGCAGGATACCAAAAAAAAAGAACATAAGTAAGCAACAACCATAGAATTTATTTATAAGTTTACCGCCAAAAGTGATTAGAAGTAACCAATAGCGCCAAAGTCGACGAGGATGCCAGAAGAGGTCACAAACATACACACACACACACACACACTCTGGAATCAGGACGCTTCACCAAAAGTACATTTCAGCGCAAAACCCACCGAGGATCCTCACTGCTGGTAAAAATGCATTGCCCTACGGCCAACTTGGCCACGAGACGACGATAAATCGTAGAAATGCGTTAATCTCTTCACTTGGGAGTACAAAGTTAAGGGCGTCGCCTAATTTGCTTTAATTTAAACCTACCAAGACTTCACTTAACCGCTTCAGTGTGGTGTAAATTCTTACTACAGGAGGATTCATGCACATCGCCATCATCGTCGTTGCCACCCATGCTTGACAGTGTGGAGCGTAGCTAACGCTGTAGATTGTCTACAGTTGCTCGCATAAATCTCGTCTTTGATAAAAGGAGTCATTCAAGTGCCCCACCATTGTGTCATCGCTAGATAAGCCGATCGTCTAGCAGTCCTAAGTCTTCCCTGCTTCGATATTGCACACGCTGGTGCCCTCAAAGAAGTCGTGGTGAACTGTTTCCGTGACGGTGGAAAGCAATCCCTACCTTACAGAGCATCTATCCTGAGTTATACTGGTGGATGATAAACGTAAACGGAGACAAAATGCATAACTGAGGGTGAAGGAGTTTGTGACGACCTCCACCATACCTTCTTGTCTACAAGTTGGAGCAAAGCCAGGCGGATGTGGCTGAAGAGTAGAGAAGTGAGAAAAAAAGTAACATGACTGAGCACATTTAAAATCCCATCTCCACGAATTGGAGTGAACATTTGTAAGACAATTCTACAATTAGGAGTGATCATGCGAGGATTCAGCCATCAAGCAGAAAGAACTTTCAGATTCAATAGAATCGTCACAACGGTTTGTTGATGATTTGGTGAAGTGTCACCTCACTGGCATGGAAATTTGATGACAGCTGACACGAGTGGTGGACCAGGGTGAGCGTTGTTGACAATGTCTTGGTCTGTACAGACCACCCTCGAGCATTGCAGTCTCCTCTCATCTAGAGATGGCGCACCGCCTTCAAATTGAGGTATTTACAGTCATGTGAGGGCAAATTTATAAAACAATAATTAGCCAGAAATAGAACAGTCGTGAAGTTTTCACGCACTTGACACTAATAACATGCGTCATTGGGTAGACTTGGATGGGAAAAATGCTTTAGGCAAAATGTCCAAACGCTCTGGGAAGGGTGATGGATGCTGTTCAAGGTCACGAGGTCTGCCTGCTTAGTTATTCCGTTCTTAACCAAAATAGTTCATTAAAACTATGCAAGTGGAGGGCTTTGATGCTGCACAGGAAAGTTATCCATCGATGCCTCGCAAAGCGTTCCACACGATGCACTCAAATCGTGTCTCCTCACAACCACAAAATCACACCGCTTCCCGTGCTTGTCAATAAATGATTCGTTTTTTTTTAAATAAAAAAGCATTCAAAATGCTCTACGAAAAGTGGAAGAGATTTTGGAACCCTTCCTCAAAGGACGAGAGTCTGCCAAGTGCTAAGACAATCTTCAGTGTGTTTCACTTGAGCTGCCAGTTGGGAGGAGGTGCAAAAAATGGATCCAATTCGTTGAACTTGCAAACAAACAAACAAACAAACAAACAAAACTCTGAGAGTAATAATGGAGGTGAGACAATGTTAAGAAGGAGTGAAGTCACTACACACAAGCAAATGATCTATTTCTCTTTGTAAGAAGAAAAGAGAAAAAAAGAAGGTACTGCTGTATATGCTTTACAGTCATATATTTATCATTAGTAGGTAGTATCACCATCAACTTCCTCATTTCAAAATCACCGTCGATAGCGGCGTCAATTCTCTCTTAAATCAAAAGAGGACGCTATAGAAGAACTCAAAAAAGGGGAAGAGAGGAGAAGGAGGGAGTGAGGAGTAGGAGGACGTAGGGATACATGGAATTGGAGGGATAATGACGCGCACACGTAGATTTTGCAGAGTGCAAGCACACACGGGTAAGGTGGAAGGTGGAGGAGGTGGAAAGGAGGATTAGATTATTTCACAGAACAGAGAAATAGAAGATTAAGAAGAAAAGAAAAGGAAGTCAAACTAGCAAGAGCAACACCACAAAGCTATTATATCAAGAGCTGCGCAGCATTGAGGAGGGAAGGAATTTCAAATTGTAAGGACAAATTGAAGTAGCATCAGGGAAGTGAATGTGGCCTACTTCGTCACCCCTCCCTCCCCCGGTAGCTAGTAGAGACCACAGCCCCTTAGGTTGTTGGCGATGATCACATCGGTGACAGCATCAAAGACAAATTGGATGTTGTTGGTATCGGTGGCACATGTCTGGTGACAGTAGATCTCCTTGTTCTGCGACCGATTTTTCGCCTCAAAGGAGGCCTGAATGTAGATTGCTGCCTCCTCGTAGGTCTGTTTACCTATGATTACAAAACAAATACACAAAAAAATGTATGGTTCCACGACTGAGGTGGAAGCCTTCCCACAAATGAGAGGTGATTCGGCATGAAAATTCGAACATTTGTAATGTAAAACTAATTTAATGCAGATTAAGAAAAGAACTTGGACAGTTACGGTGGTTGACAAGACCACAAAGAGTTCGGAACAATGCCAACCATGACGATTAGGGTACAACGAAACAATTAACTATCTCCACACTGAAATCCATGTAACAAAACAACTAAAATGGATGCATTCATAGGCATCGTCTTAACGCCCACGTGTAGGTAAGACGAAGGGAAGTTTTGGGCGCACCACCTCATGCCTCTCTCAGGAGATGAAAGAAAAAGAAAAAAAAACTTTTGAGAAACAAATTTCTGTTGAAATGACCAACTACAATGCCCGATCTGTAGCACAGGTGACTTGAAGGCCACGCACAAGGTCAGACGTCGTCTAGGGCGAGAGAAGGGGAGACCAAAGGGGACTTCAAATTGCATCACCAACTGACAGTCATGGAATTCACTCGTGGGATGCCATGAAACTGCAAACGTACTGGACACTATCGTGCAAAAAAAAATGTTCAACTGCCATCTATTTCTAGCTGCAGAAAACTGTTGGACACACAAAAGTCCTGAGGGGAAAATCGACCACCACACTACGGACGATTTGCAGCTCCAATAAAACAAAACTAAAATTTATTAACTGCTCGGTTTAAGTACTTTGCTTCAGATCAAATGTCTCGACCACTTTAGGCCTAACAAATCGCCTCGAGATTCACAAATATGATCTCGGAATGGTGAATTTCACGCCAAGGAGTCTACAACTTTAAATTCAGGTAAAAAAAATTGGGCGCACAGCCATTAGGTGGGAGGAGAAGTGAAGACGCACCCGGATACTCGGGGAAACAGACAGTGAGAGGTGAACGTTTAATCTTCTCTGCAAATAAATCCTTCTTGTTGAGGAAGAGGATTATGCTGGTGTCGGTGAACCACTTGTTGTTGCATATCGAGTCAAACAGCTTCAACGACTCCTGCATTCGGTTGGTGGTCTCGTCTTCGTGCAACACCTGGTCGTACTCACTCATGGCCACACAGAAAATGATTGCTGTCACATCTTCGAAACAGTGGATCCACTTCTTCCGCTCCGAGCGTTGACCGCCCACATCAAAGAGTCTAGGAGGGCACGAAGAATTTACCTGCCATAATTTGTCTTCCAGTTCAACGTAGGGTAGAATGACTCGTACTTACTTGAAATTCATGTTTTTAAATTGGAAGTGAACTTCAACTATACCAGTCGTTTTAACTCGCGTTCGCAGGATGTCCTGTTCAGTAGGTCGATAGTCCTTCGCGCCCAACCGATCCAAATCATCGAGGAAGCTGAAGAAAACCGAGTAGTGGGAAAATTAGTGTCCTCTGTATATTAAATTCAAGTGTCTACAGGAGCACGAGACTTACTACTTTGCAGAATCGTTGAGCTGATACTCATTTGACCGCACAAAGCACTGCTGAACACCAGAATCAGCCCAAAGTCGTTTCATGGCCTCAAGAAGTTCCTCGGAGAAGGGTTCGGTGTCTTGCATTGCCTGAATAACGTCGCTCACAACTCGTGCATCCTCGGGCTGTTTTGATGCATGAAAAGGAGTCACAGTTCAACCCTCATTCACTCCACCACCTAACAACTTGACCAAGAGAGATGGCAAACACTTACACACTGCACAGGATCGCCGAATGGAATGCCGAGGGTATTCATCGCCCGCAAAATAGCCGCCATAGACTGAATTGTGTTGCTGTACACAACAGGTTTGTGCTGCTTGTTGTCTTCCTGAGTGAAACCACCCTCGTGAATGATTCTTTGAGAAATAGTAAAACAACAAAGTCACTAGGCACTGCACCATCGCAGCACTGACATTCAACTTTCGTAGAATAAGTAAGCTGACTAAATCACATCCAACCTTCGTGCCAACTCCTCCCTCTCCTTAAAAAAAACTGTTGATGACATCAAATGATAACATCACACCGCGTCTTGACGTTTTGTTAGACGAGCAAGCTAACTAAACTACAAAGACGTGAGTAATTTCTTCAGCCATCTGACCGAGGAAGCACCCTTCCAAGAACACCGACAGACGAGCCAGGTGCACGT